AATTTTCGTAAGTTTTATATAAAACAACATGTAATAGAATGCGAAATCGAATAATTTATTGAAAAAATTTATAATGAATTTTTAGTAATAAATTCCTAGCTGAACCGAAAAATAAATTGGCCATGAATTCTATTTCTCGTGACGATATGGCTGAAGTTTTGACAAATCGAAAAGTAATGATAAAACTTACGAGACTTCTAGACTATATGTTTTTATCTTTATTTAATTAAATATATCATAAATAACTTTTTTTAAATTTAGGCTACAATTGATAATATTCATGCCTTCTCAGATAAAATTGAATTGGAAGGTAAAGCCACCAATCAAAAATCTTCGGGACGTTGCTGGTTGTTTGCTGCTACCAACGTTTTGCGCTTAATTCTTATGAAGAAGTAGGTTTCTAGAAAAATCTCCCCTAATCATAATAATATGTTTAATAATAATATATTTTTAATATTTATATTCCAGATATAAATTGGAGGAGTTTGAACTGTCACAATCATATTTATTTTTTTATGACAAGTTTGAAAAGGCTAATTGTAAGTGTGATATTTGTTACAAGTATACTTTCTTCCAGTATATTTGTGTGTTAGTAATGACTTGATAATTTATATTTTTAGATTTCCTTGAGAATATTATCTCCCTTGCAGGTGAAGATGTTGATTCGAGATTAGTTCAGTATCTGATTCAAGACCCTGTTAGTGATGGTGGACAATGGGATATGATTATTAATCTTTTGGAAAAATACGGTGTTGTGCCAAAATCTGTAAGTTAATAATAATAATAATAATAATAATAATAATAATCATACTATTAATTATAGTGGTAGTAATTTTAATTGTTAATATTAATATCTCCCTTTCTCTTTCTCTTTCATATATGTTATGTATATTATTAGGTTTTTCCAGAAAGTTTTAGTTCATCATCATCTTCACATTTAAATTTGTTATTTACAGAACGGCAAATATTGGTATCCTGTAAGAAATTTCCAGAACTATGCCCATCTCACTCGGTGAACCTCCCAAAGATTTTACCTGGTCTTTTCATGATAAATATGGTAAATTTTATGAATATAAAAATTTGACACCTCAGAAATTTTACAAAGAATTTATTGGATATAAGGTAAATTATAAAGATCATAAAAAAAATTTATCAGAGTAAAAAATTTGGTTACTCACACGCAATGTGGTTTTGTTTTCCTAGGCAACAGAATCATTTTCGTTAATAAATGACCCACGTAATGCATATTATGAACTTTATACAATCGACTATTTGGGTAATATTCAATCAGGATCATCAATTAAATATGTTAATATCCCAGTTGATTTAATGAAAAGTTTAACAATAAAAACTTTGAAAAAAGGAAAACCTGTTTGGTTTGGTTCAGATGTTGGTAAATTTAGTAATAGTACATTGGGTATTTTGGATAACAATATAATTGATTATGAATTGGGATTTGATGTAAAGTTTGAAATGAGCAAAGGTGACAGATTAAAATATGGTCAAAGTGCTATGACACACGCTATGGTATTCACTGGTACGTATAATTTATAAATGTACATAAGATATATATATGTAT